ATGATGCACGAGCTGCCTTTCAGATGTGCAAAACGGTGCGTCAATACGATCTCACGCCACAGATGATATGAGGACATGTGCGGCCTGCAGGTTGCATACAGGATTACACACATGCATATGCACGACACTGTTGGGTTTTCACCCATCAAAACACATTTCGTGTCTCTTGATGTAGAGGATGGTGCAACGACAGCTCACAGAAGTCTGATCTCATTCATCAAAGCTGGAGTTCGGATAGATGTGCCCTGAAAAAAGCTACATTGACCCATTAGAGTTCTTGGAATTAAAAAGAAATAGGGAGTTCGGTAAAATATCCATACAAAGTCCACTGCATTTAACTTGATAATAAAAAAGAAGTCTGCAAAGACAGCAAAAACATTAAAGATTGAGATGTGAAGTGTCAAACTGTGGAAGTTTCCAAACAGAAGGAAGCTGTGAGCCACCGCTTGTGGGAAAAGAAGAGAGTATTCCTTCCAGGATGGATGTGTTCAAAGGTCACGTGTCAGGCCACATCACATTATACATTTCCCTCTGTTTCTATGTCTATGACAGCCACAGATCATTTAAAACACCATTCTTTTTTTTCTACATTTCTACTTGAATCCAATTCTGAAATAACAATCAACAAACACAAATCATTTCTGAACATGTGATATTCATGTTGGATTCAGCAGGAATGCACAGTACAGTATTAATAAGATCAAGAACCTAGAGCCAATAACAATGCTAACATGCTGATGTTTAGCAGATTTAATATTTACCATGTCCACCATCTTGTTTCAGTGTGTTAAATGCTAACATTAGCGAATTAGCAATGCAGCTGAGGACCATGGGTATGTCATTAGTTTGTGATAAGATGACGTCATTAACCAAGTGTGTCCGAATGTGTTCAGAAAATCTCCCACACGTTTGTAATCGTTACTGGCACTAATAGTGAAAATACATCACTCGAGTAGGCTCTTAACTACTTTGCAAATACTGCAAATGTGAATATCGGGACAGACCCTTATGCTTCCATCACATTACACAACTTGAAGTCAGAGGTGATGGATGGGTCACCCACTGTGTACATCATAAACGCTACCAATGGTGGACGACTGCCAGAGTGTAGCACCAAAGTCAATTGAGTGCAGCCGCCAGATTTGAAGGCCACGTTATTACTGTTGGCCATTAAGTTCACTGTGTCATCACGTGTCAGCGGTGCCACCAGGCGCCTCAGGCAGAGTGAATGGAAATGGTGGCTAATAATAGTTTATGATAAACAAACCAATCTCATCCAGGTCTTCCTCATTTCAAAATAATGGTGTCATAACACAGCGGCACGATGGCAGAAAATAATAATGGGAAATTGCTGCTTTAATGACAACTCTCCCTGACGAGGTCCTGACTTTTCGATGCAACTCCTGAAGATCAACACTGACATGTATCACATGCGCTGTGTAGTGCAGCATAGTATAAGATGTGTGACACTGGAGATGTTGTGTAAGCTATAATGCATGGTTGCAAAAACACAGCATTTTGATTGTAATATCAACATGAACGACATCTAATTATGGCGTGTACCTGACCAGAGCGGACCAGATGGCGATGAAACACAACGTGCAGCTGAGTCGGTGCGTGTTTGGATGCACATGCAGACATTTGCATTTATTAATGTGTGCAAGAGAGTGAAAGACATAACGTGACAGTGAAATACAGAGCGCCAGCGAACGCCAGCAAGACAACCATTGACACATACAGATTGATGGATGGGTGGAAAGGGAATAGGAAATGTTGGGCCCGTGGCAGTGTGTCTGCCTGTGTCGATCTGATTTGGGTGACACTGTGTGACAGGAAGCTGGCAGAGCTGGAACCCACACCACCCCCTTAACACTCACACGCACACACACACACACACACACACACACACACACACACACGAGAGGTCACGATGGAAGTGACTGGCACTCACATCTAAGCACACACACAAACATCAAACCCAGTCTCCAAGTCTGAAACTTCTTCTGCCCTTTACTTTGTATCAGCCCTAAAAACCACTAACAGTAGAATTCAGACAAATATTCAATCATTCAAATATTCTTTATCAGTAAACACAGGCCAAAAGAAGAATCGACCCCCGCACAGTTTTTAGAAATTTGAATTTAGAGAGTCTGCAGTCATGCTGGTGTCTCTGTGAAACTGTACTCAATGCACAGTGGTGCTTTGGCGTAAATTATGAATCACACTGCTCTTCTTAGCAAGACCTGCCCTGTGTAGCTGGTTAAGGAAGAGACGGTTGGTTAAGGTTAGGTATTGATAAGGGCATAAAGACCCGAACATATCAGGTTATGCATGGCATGGATGCCCGGCCAATCCTAGCGCTTGAATGCTGCACAGGGCGAGTCTGGCCCAGAAGCGCAGTGGGATTCATAATAACGCGGCGCCTTGAGCTTAACGTCAGCACGCTAACACGCTCGCAATGCTAACAAGCTGATGTTTAACAGTGCAGGGTCTGCTGTTTACCATGTTCACCATCTGAGTTTAGTGTGTTAGCATGCTAATATTTTCTAATTAGCACAGCTGAAGCTGATGGGAATGTCTTTAGTTTTGCATGTATTTGTTCAAAAAACATAAAGTATTGAACGAACCATTTCTGACCTGATGATGGTGCTGAGGAAGACTCAGAAGTTCCACATAAGACAGTAGGGTACATCCTCTGTGTACGAAGAATGTTACTGAGTAGACGAGATATTTCACTTAATATGTGAAAACTGTGACCTGCTGGTGGCGCTAGAGGAAAAGTCAGGGATCACCAAAGTCGGTAGGATTTATCATCTGGGGACCATGCATATGTGTACACAAATGCAATAGCAATCCATCCAAATGTTGGTGAGATATTTCTGTCTAAAACCACTAGCATGACACTAACCATCCATTAAGTTGTTCTCCCTTTTATCAGAAGGTTCAAACAACTCAAAGAGAACTCCCACAAGGACAGAAGCTCTTTTGTTTCTTGTACTATTTAATAGCTTACCTCTGGTTAATGTATTTTTTATAGGATAGTTAGAAATGCAGTGTTAGCACTGTTTAGTTTAATGGTGCTCCGCAGATGAATATGAAGCTGTTGATAATTTATGACTCTTGAGGGTTATTTGGTGTTTTAAGTACTTTTCTATATTAATGTTTATTGTCCATCAATTGAAGAGAATTTCCCATCGGAGGGAACCGCAACGAACTGAACACAATACTAAACATGCAGTTCATGTATGAGCAGCTGATAAAGGATGAAGATTGTTGTACGTTTTTCATCTTGAAAGTGCACTTACTATTTCCCGTCCCATCCAGGCCAATGTTTTTTCCTCCCAAGAGACAAAGAGTATGTGAAAGAGGTACTTTCACATTTATTTTTAGGTTGGGAGAAGCTCCTCTGCTGTTCCCTAGGTGAGAGGCCCGGCCCATCTGATCCCATCAAGCAGTGTGTTCATCCCTGCTGCCTTAGCCCACTGTCTAGATATCATTGTCTTTACCCTCTTGCTTTCCTTATTTCTTGGATTACAAACACGCTTTACACTTAAGGCCTTTTTTTCCCTTTTCTTTTCCCGTTCTTTTTCAGACTCACCAATCATCTCTTTGCCCCATCACAAGAGTAGAGACAGCAAGAATAGGTGGTAATTGCAATGATGATTATACTTTTTGTTGAGACTGATAATGTTGCCATCAAGTCTTTCGGCATGTAGATAGGAAATTGTGTCACTGGAGAAAAGAAACAACTTCTGCAGCTTGTTTGATTCACAGTATGTGTCATGTAAGAGATAATTCAATAGACATTTCTGTTTCAGGGCCACACACACACACACACACACACACACACACACACACACACGCACAATTAGGAGTGTCTTACCAAAGAGGGGAAGTTGAAACCATGGCAAACTTCCAGTCTAGCCTGAAATGCAGGAATCCTGTCAGGCAGGATCGCAGGTATCAACCTTGGCGGACTATGTCATTATCTGATTAGTATTTCCGTCAAAACCATGACCTTAAGTCTGATTAACTACTTTTCTTTGAGTATCAGCTTAATGAATTCCTTGACAAAAATCTCCACAGAGTTACATATCTGACAAACACGTCACAATACAATCTTTTGGGGTTTTAATCAGATATATATTTGAATGTAATAGTTTTAATTGATTAAAGTAAACACAAAATGTCCTCAGTCTCTAATTTAGAGAAGCCAAAAGCTCTTTCATGTAAAGAAATACAGCCAAGATAGTCCCTTCTGCCCTGAGCACCACGCATGCGCTTGATATTGCTGCCTTCATGTGCTCTTTCCAGACTCCGATATCCGAACTCTAAAATGTCAGTGTCCCAACTCAATACCATGTTGATATTGTAAATTAAGCAGTAAATACTCTATTGATATAAATGTTGCACAAATAAAGTGGTTCTCCAACAAAAATAGGCACAATGTAATGCTTTATCATGAGGGATACTGGGGAACAAGACATAAGGCTATTTAAGACATGCATTGGCAGCTGTCACTTCAAATTACGCCTCGTATAGTGATTGAAATATATACTTCAGTGGATTCATTAATTAGTTACTTATTATTGTGTAAAACGTAGCATTTAATAAAAGGACATTTTATCATTTTTAAGTAACATATAGGCTGTAATTACTTTTGCATTTGCAACATGGTCAATAAGTAGGCTATATAGTTGGCTATAGATACAATACACCATCCTACGTCTCAGACTGGACTTATAAAGTTAAAATTAGATTTGAAATTAAAACATTCTAATAATAGAAAATATATAATTGAAAATGCATCGTTTTAAAATAAAAAACCCCCACGAATGAATTTAGGCTACATATTGTGAATGTAAGGTATTACTGACGATGTCCACCTCTATTTTACTCATATTAAACTAACAATATTTCCATATATTATTTTAACTGGAACTTTCCGACAGCACGTGAATGCAGCACGAACAGCAACACATTCCCAGCGCTACAGAAGAGCACAGACTGGGAATGAGACTCCGCTAAGTGCACGAGAGCGTCGTACCTGGTCAAACGAGTCGCGCGGACGCTGTGTCAACCACCGACAAAGTAGCTGTTAACTGGACAAAAGAAGGAAACACCGTTTAAAGTGAGTTTATAAGAACTGAGAGGATTTAATAAGTGGGCTGGAGACGCGAGTTGGAGCCGTGGCACGTGTGGAAATGACATCGATAAAGACGGATTAAACTGCAGGGATGTTAAAGGGAATGATGAAAACAACATCTACACAGTAAAAGGAGTGACTCCGGAGCCGAAGGGAATGGCTTGATTTCTCACCCCGGGGAGCGAGCGGTGGGACAATACTGTCGGAGGCACTCATGTTTCTGTGGAAGAGAAGGAAAGTTTGCTGCGCTTCACCCGGATACAAGTCTACTTTCTGAGAGGCATTTTGCTGCTGTGACTATTTCTCACCCCAGTGAGCAAGAGCCCGACCGGCTCTAAAACTGTTCACAATGTCCAACCCCGCGCTGAAGAAAACCCACTGGACCTCCAGAATGAACGAGTGCTCCGTCTCCAAAGATGCCCGCGGTGACTTGAACGTGCCACTGCGCGGCGGAGCGGAGAACGGGGAGTTCGCCTACATCGGGCAACTTAACGAGGACGTCGTGCTTTACAAAATTGGAAAAATATATGAAGGAGAACTGCTGCTGGAGGTGGAGAATCTCTCTATTTCGGGATTACCCTTGTACGACGTACAGACCGTGATAAAGAACTGCAAAGGTCCCGTCCGGTTGAAAACTGTCAGGCAAGGTAAGGAACCGGGAGACGCGGCGACATCACACGCAAAACTCCGCTCGAGCTTCTCGCTTTTAATGTTGCACAGTTTACTGAAGAATGACGGGGGTTGAATTTGTGTTGTGCCAAACCTTGTATTGGAATAACGTTAGATAGGAGGCACTCATCAATAAGTTGTCCTTGCTTCACGGGAGGAGTCCTGTGGGTACTCTTTGAGTTAGTATATGTTGGAGTAAGTTCCTCCAGGTGAAATATTGGTTTATCCAACTGTCGAATAGGTGAAATTACACCCGGCGATGCGCACGGACACGTTAAATCGAGAGCTTTTTGAATGGAGTTTGGTGTTTACTTTATTTTTTCCCACTCTAGAGAAAGAACCACCTGTCTGGTCCAGAGAGATGGACACAGCACAGGCTCTCGCACGCGGTTTACTCAGCTTCCCTTTTGTCCGTCTCTTCATCAACCCTTTGAAATTGCTCACGTGATAAGAAACGTCACAACTTTTTTTTTTTTTTTAGGTTATTAGACATCTTTGAGCGAAACATCCAACAACTGAAATTACAGGTGTCACTCATTATATTACCTTGGATCAGTTTAATTGGGCACAATTTTACCTGTAAGGACGTTTTTTGAATACCAGCTTATTTTCATACTGCTGCAGGATATTATATACAATGGCATAAGCGAGGGTCAATTTACCCTCATTTTTTAGTAATATAGGTAATTTACTGAACAATCAGATATTCAGCAAAGTCTGAGTTGGCCTGTGTCTTGTCTGCTGTGTCGGCTACGGTATCTGTTGAGTCCTCAAACAGGCTAGACTGGCAACACTTCTCCAGCGCCTTACAAGAATGGGAACATCCGTCACCAACAGTAAGCGAGATGCGAACATGAGGCCTGTGTGGCTGGCCTGTCTAGTTCATGGTCAGCTTGACTCAGCAGGGCCGGGCTGGGCCGTTTGACACTGAGCCTGTCTGACAAGGCTCCCAGCGTGGTGAAGCAGACCGCTGAAGGGATGCTCCGGGGCCACACTGACTTCCTGTAGAGACGGACAAAAGAGCAGCAACTCTTCAAGGACAATTTCACACATTTAGAACCTGTGAATTCGGCTGGCAGCAATATTGTCTGGACCTGCTCAGAAGTGGCACACTGATTTTTATTTTGTATTTTTTTTTAAAGGCGCTATATGGAAGTCAACATCAAAGTGCTATCTTATTAATTTTAGGACAGTATTACTCGACTTTGGCACAAACCAGGACAACTAAACGAGGGTCCTTCACACAGGTGTTTTCACTTACTGACTAATTACCCCTCTACTTAGGTTGAAGGTGATTATGTGATGTCACCGAACTCAGTAGACTGTTCTCACAGCAGACGTTGACTCGTAAAGAGAGAGCACAGGTGTTGCTCATAACGTTAACGATGGCTCTGTTTTATTCAAGTGTCCCAGTGAGGCTTGATCGTAAGCCAGCGGTGTTCATTTTTAGTGTTTGAAACTGTGCTTTTCCTACTGAGACAGCTTAAAATGACTGCTGTGAAAAAAAGGCCTTTTCTACGAATGATAAAGGTGCATGCCGTCAGTGCCCTGACTAGTGCAACAAAACTTAACAGGACAGGTAGGGAGGTGTCAATCACTCTGTCTGTGAAGCCCCACACAGTCTTGAGAGGAGGTCTAATCATGCAGAACAAGTGAAAACACCTGTGCGGTTGAATCAGAGGCATTTAGGGACTTTTAATGAAGTCTGAATGTGCTGGTGTTAATGATTTAAAATTGATTAAACAGATCTAAAGTGATCATTTGAACACTTATTGCTGGCTACTTAAGGAAATTTAAATTTAAGGATATCAGTGTTTTTGTTTGCTCAGGCACTTGAGTTACGGTACGCATTGTTCAGTTTCCTGGTTCACTATTGTGTTATTGTGTTCTGATATAAAGGAGAAAACTGTAATAAACAAAACATAGGGCCACGTGGTGGGCATCTTTTTAAAAAAGATTACCTTGTAGTTGAGTTTTGGACATATTTCTTATATTTTTCTGGTCATTTTAATTAACACTCATGTAAAAACTTCAGAGGGAATCACCAGTGTGAATTCAGAATTTTTCATTTCCTGTCTTGTAACATGAGCCAGTGTTGATTATGCACCCCCAATCCTTTCTGCGCTTAAATTACTTCAGACAAAAGGAGGAAACTCGCGTCTCACATTGGACCAATCACAAGTCTCAGTGCTCCCAGCCCCCCTTCCCCCCC